TGTTATGATTTAGTTATTCCCTCCTGAAATGCTGGTTCTTTGGGTGAAAAATAAAAATAAGCATGATTTGGAATTGTGTCAGCGAAAGCTTCTCAAGACGTGACTCTGAAATACAGGACCTTAAATTCCTACTCCACTCAAAGAAGCAGTTATGCCCTAATCTCCTCCTTGGTGGTGAGTAGGGTGGGAGAGGTGTGTTACAGGTTCTAGGCATGACATTCTTCCCACACTTAGTGTGCATCTGTGAAAGATGCCAGCCTGGGCTCCATGCTCTGCTCTGTTTATCTGTTTATTGTTTTCCACCTGTTCTCTTATTTGCTTCTCTTAGAAGCAGCTCATTGAAAACAAATTCAGTAATTTATATCACGACTTATATTTATGAAACACTACAAAGACTCCTTTCCCCCTCCCCTCCAAAGTTGTCCTTGTTTGGATACTTACATTAACGGATGGGCTTAACCCATAGACCACATGTTGACTGATGGATATTAGACCCACCCAGAACTTCCATTGCCTGTTTTATGTTTGATAAGCACCTCCTAAAATGCCTTTTGTAATTTGGGAGACTAGGCCAGAGCTCTCCGGTTATGTAAGTTACATGCAGTAGGATTTGCTCCCCATTAAAGCTGAAAGTAACAAGTAATGTGTTGTTTTTGGGTACCCTACAGATACCTGGCAGCTCACAGAAGTATAACTATTCCCATTTCTGGCACAGAATCACTGAATGAATCTTTGTGAGCCATGAATTCCTCAGTAATGTTTTTAAAGCTGTGGTACTAGGCACTAACAAAGGATAAATAAAAGAAATGATTATTTTGAGTGGGGAGAGAAAGGGCTTTGATGATGTCATGTGCCACCCAAAATGCTTAGTGATGATTGTGTTTATCTTTCAGCCCCCAGCAGTTTATTGTCCACTGTTTTTGAACAATTGAAGTTGTCCCTCCCTGAGCTTCCACCAGAGACAGCCTGGGCCCTACCACCTTTTCTGTGTGTTTTTGTATCAAGCAGTGTTGTTTGCAGGGAGTTGGAAGATGAGTTGGCATCAAGGCAATTTGAGGTGATAATGGAGCAAGTTAACTAAAGACCAGGAAATACTGTTAAAATATATCATGTGCTTTAATATATATTAAAACCATAACAGAAATGAAAGAGTAAAATAACTCAAGATGAACTGTTGCAGTTTTCCATGATATGTACAAATCCTTTCCAGTATTCATATGTGTTCTGTGTGATGGTAATCATGCCATAGTTAGGCTACTTCTGGGGTTTTTTTTTCCATGTATGTATTACTATGCTGCTATATAATTTGTAATGATCATTTTTGGTGGCTGCATAATTAGTAAATAAGCCATCTACCCTTGATGCGTGTCTGACAAATAAGAGAGACAGTAGTGTCGGCCTCAGGGCCTAATAGCCCTCTCACTGCAGGGTTTTACGGCTTCACTTCTATTTTTCTCTAGTGAAGAGGGGTGAGGAGGTGACTTAGTGGCCATTGCTCTTGAGGAGCCTGTCTCCAGATTCGGACTGGCATCGTTCACTCAACACGCTCCTGTAGTCATGAGTGGACTCTGCCCTCCTCCTTGTACCTTTCTCTAAAACTTTTAATTTCCTTCCATATATAAACCCTGCCAGATAGTAAGATCTTCAACATTATCAATAAAAATGTTGATTTATAGGGGTGCCTGGGTGGCTCTGTCAATTGGGCATCCAGCTCTTGATTTTTGGGTCAGGTCATGATCTCAGGGTCGAGAGATCGAGCCCCGGGTCAGGCTCCTCCCTGAGTGTGGTCTTGCTTGGGCTTCTCTGTCCCTCTCCCTCTGTTTCCTCCCCTGCCTTGCTGCCTCTAAAAAACAAACAAAAAAAGATTAATTCTTAGACCCCTAGATGGGATTGGTTGACTGTGGAATACGAGCAAGATCAAGATGTAAAAATGGGTATCTGCCAAAGAGGAAGAGAGGTGCTAGGAGAAGAGACAGATCAACTATGTCTGTTCCTCCTAAATGGGATGGAGAGTTTTACTGAGCAGGTTGACATACTGGAGCCAGGAGCCTGGGACTGTGAGGTGGTGGCCAGTAGGTTGCAGACCTTGAGCACTCTTGCCATGGTACTCAAAATTCTCATCTGTTCACAGCAGTGGGCAGGGAGGGGATGTGTGGCGGGGGGATTTGGGGTGCACATGTTGATTATGTACCCAGGAGGATTGAGTTTCCAGCCTTGGAAAAAGGTCACACTGCCCAAGTTCATTTTTAGTCATCTTTTCAGAGGGGACAAAATAACACTTGACTTCAGCCATACTTGTTGTGATGGACTATAAAAAGCTAATAGTGGTTTTTTTTGGTTCATTTCTTAATGAACCACTAAAATCTGCCTAAAAGTTACAGTCTTAAATTTTCATTGTTCTTTTTATTAATAATCATGAAGATTGTCTGTAATGACAGTGCTTTAAATGAAAAGCCATCCAACCAATTGACAAAAGGCAACATGGTTTTGGAAGCATCCCCTTAGGGCTTGTATGTAGAAATTAGAGAAATAGAAATAGAAAAATAACAGGTTTGTGTGTATATGTGTGTGCATCCATGAAGTCTGCTGAGTATCTGTGATGTACTCAGAGGCCTATACGGTGCATAGAAACTGTCCTTGTACTCAGAGTGCTTAAAACCTTGTGGAGAATTGGCCCTGTAGACAATTGTGCTCTAGTAAAATGACTGCTCTAAAAGAGGCGTGTGTATGTATAAAGTTCATTCGAGATCCAGGAGGAAAACCTCTCAGGTCTGCAAGAGAAAGTCAGGCTGACTTAGCTGGAGAGGGGACCTTACATCTCTCACTTGAAACATGAGCAGAAGTTTTCCAGTCAGAGGAGATGGAAATTCTAGGAACAGGGAACAGGATGTGCAAAGGCAATGAGGCAATGAGGCAATGAGGTATGGCACGGCTCCTGCGTCTGGGGAGCTGAAAGTAATTCACTCTTTCTGACAAGTACATACTTTTTTATTATTGGAGCATAAACCACAAAGGGACATGTGTCCAAGGATGAGGCAGGAGCAATAAGGGACTGTGTTTATAAAGTATTCCATTTAAAGAGATTTTGATTTTCCAACAACAAACCTCTCAAGCTCTAATGTGCGGAAGCCCCCCCGCCCCTCCCGGCACTTGGGTGGAATGCAGATTCCTGGGCTTCATGCCCAGAAATCCTCAGCTCGTGGGTGTGGAGAAGCCTCCTCAAATCTGCACTCCAGGTAATTCAGTGATGGTGGGACAGAAACTATACTTAAAGGAATATTGCTAGAACAGTGGGCAACCACTGAATTTTCTTTCATGGGAGGGAGGGTCAAACGATTGTGTGCACACGTTAGGGCTGGCAGCTTTAGAGGAATAGTTTGCAGTGGGGAGGAAGAAGACATTTTATGAATCCAGGCAAGAGGTAATGGAGGTCTTTGACCAGGGCGCCCCCGTACAACATGAAAATCTGCTGCTCTGTTTTTACTTTATGTACAGTGAGAACTTAATTTATTTTTCTCTCAATTTCTAGTTTTCCCAACTAGTGTATTTTTGTTGCATTTAGATGAGATTTTTTTCTACTCTCTTGAGTTTTCTATTTCTGCTGCGTACGTGTCATCTGGCCCTGTTTTTCTTTTATCATTGGTGTATTAGCATTCTTTATAATTCTGTATGTGCTTCATTTGCTAAAAGCCACCTGTAGAGATCATTCTTACTTCACACCGATAGATATTCATCTATCACCCATCTGCCACTATATTGGATGACATGATTGACTGTTGCTACAGCTCTTAAACCTGGAATAACTTCTTTTTGAAAGTTTTTGGGGTTTTTTTTTTGGTAACTATTAACTTTAATATAGTTGTCTTCTATGATATGTCTTACAGTACATTGGTTCAAAGAATGTTTCTTTGGTTGGTACCAGAAACTTGGTCTGTGCCTTTTGGTCCTCATAATCCAGCTAAGTAGAGACAGTAAAATCTAAATTATCTAGCATCATGGGAAATAACAAGTTTATGTTTGCTGGGAAGAGGGCAGAGGTAATCCCAAATTACAGCCAATATAATATCTTGAAGTTAGGAACATCTTTTTTTTTCTGCATACATGTTGGCTAATATTAAAATAGAGCTTGCTTTGTCAAAAGTAAATGATTTGGGGGTCACCTGGGTGGCTCAATAGGTTAAGTGTCTGCCTTCGGCTCAGGTCATCATCCTGGGGCCCTGGGATCAAGCCCTGCATCAGGCTCCCCTCTGCGCTTCCCCCCCCCACTCGTGCTCTCTCTCTCAAATAAAATCTTAAAAGCAAGTAAATGTTCTGAGCAATGAAAGAAGAAAGTCTTCATGTACAGCACAATGAAATAATTCTGGAATTCGGATTGGTCACATAAAATGCATAGCCTGGCCAGTCTGCAAATAACAACATATATATTCAACCCAAAACACAGCCCTGTATGGATTTATAACCCAGTCAGCTTTGAAAATACCCATTTGCCCAGTTGCCATAGACAGGTAAGGATTTATGTGTAGAAACAGTTATTTTTCATTTTTATATTCTGAAATTCCCGGGCATAGGAAAGACTTCATTTTTAAAGCAATGTTAGTATTTCTAAGGTTTTTAGAGCTTTTACATTTGCATTTTATTTTGCCAAAAGATGCCAATCCAATTTTATGAAAATGTCCATGTAAAAGTGTATCGTCTTAAGTTTGTAAACTCTTCACAGTATTCTAAAATTCACAGGAACATGAACTTTCAGGTCATGGTAAAAGGACTGTCAGATATATGGCTTCTGGGGATGGAGTTTTTTTCCTAATTAAAAATAATAGGACTCATTGTAAAAAAGAATAGACACACACACACATATATGTATAAAGGAACAAAATCAACCATAACTCCACATTTATAGATGGCCACTAAAAATACTTTGTTCTCTTTTGTATTCATAAACACTCATATATATATTATAAGCAAGTTATATCCTAACTGCTCCATTTATTTTTTCTGTGTTTTGGTTTTTTTTTTAAACACATTTTTGGAGCATTTCCCATTATGTATACTTTACAAATATGGTCTTAGTTTCCTATGGCTACTGTAACAAATTATGACAAGCTAAATGGTTTAAAACAACATATATTTATTCTCCTAGAGTTCTAGGGGCCAGAAGTCTGAAATCAGTTTCACTGGGCTAAAATCAAGGTGTCTGCAGGGCTGAGCTCCCTCCAGAAACAGTAAGGTAGAAATTGTCTTCTTGACTTTTCCAGCTTCTTTCTAGAGCTGCATTCTGTGCATTCCTTTCATTCCTTCCTCCATCTTCAAAGTCAGCAGGGTCGCATCTTGCTTGTGTCACAATGCCTTCTTCTGTAGTCAGATGTCCCTCTGCTTCCCTCTTACAAAGACACATTACATTTAGGGCCCACCCTCATAATATAGGAAAATCTCTCCCTCTCAAGACCCTTAATTTAATCACATCTTCAAAATTCCTCTTGACCTACTAGGTAACATATTAACAGGCTCCAGGGATTAGAACTTGGATATCATTGGAATCTATTATTCTTGTCTTTATTGGTTTTATAGTATTTTATGGCTATTTCAGTATTTATTAGCATTTGCCCTAATAAAGTTAAATTTATTAACATTATTAACATGTTGTACCTTTGGTTTTTGTCACCCATATTGTGCAATTATAAGGAATTCTGAGATTAATTTCCATATGCATAAATGTTTGTATATATAGTTGGTTATATTTTTGTAAGTTTCAGGATGTCAGTTCATAGTTAAAATATATATTTGTATGTGTATATTATATGTATATGTATGTAGCAGACATGTACATTTATGTGTGTGTGTGTATGGGTGATGTATGTGTTGGGGTGTGTGTGTGTGTGTGTGTGTTTCATTCTCCAGATAGCTTTCCAGATAGTTAGTAGAGAGAACTTACGTCCTTGTGCTCTCACCAGCATTGATGGTATCTTTTTTTTCATCTTTGCCACTTAAATGGGTAAAAATATTTAATTGATGCTTTGATTGCATATCTATGAAAATAGATTGAACACTTTTCATTCTGAACATTGTATTTGTTCTATGAATTAATATTTCTTTTAAAATCTTGGTTGGTTGGTTTGCTGGTAATGAAAATGACATAACTTACTAGATATAGATACTAAGGCTAGCTTGAGAACTCCTTGGCTAAAATATTTCGTGTCTTCCCTAAAATAATAGCCTCTGATTTGTGGAATACTGTGAATCAGCTTGAACAATGGAATAAAATTCTGACTGTTAGCAGAAGCACATGGTTTCTACCTCGGTCTGTATATGCTCCCTATGTGGTACTTTGATGGAAACTCTTATCTCTTATTTTAGTGGGATAATTTTCCATGACTTTAGATATCTGACCTGAAAAAATATTCAAGAAAAGAAGAACTGATAAATTAACTTGAATCTTACATTACAGAAAGGTCTTAGTGTCAGCTACTAAAGGGCTAAATATAACTACCCTGACCCACTTAAACCAAATTGACACTTGTGATAATTGCACTATAATTCATGCTCAGGAACCGGATAAGAAATGATGAACCTTAGACCCAAGCTTCTGGATCAAGAAACTCCATGTCCTTGAAGTTAATTCCAGATTGGGAGATTAATACAATGATTACTAACTGGGGGTCACTGTTACAGTCAAAAAGCATTTAGTACTTCATATAAACTAATTATATGTATGTATATGTATACATACATAAAACTATATATGCATGGTCTCTATTTTCTGAGATTTTGAAATCTGAGACAATAGACCTGCCTAATAGGTACAGCAGTGGAGTCATGAAATTCAGGAGGAATAGATCCAAAAAAGCTTTTTAAAACATGTACAGACTGAGTCTTCAAAATATCAGGATTCTATACCTGACTTTGCTATCAAGTATCATTTTAACCCTGAGCAAATCTTTTTTCCTTTTCTCTCTTCTCTCAACATTCATCCAAATGGTTGTATTGAGGATTTAAAGATGAAGGGGATAGAGCCCTTCCCTCAAGGAGCTCTTATTCCAATGAGGATTGATCTGCAAACAAACAGATTTTGATTTTGATAAAGTGGGAGAACCTTTTCTCTGCAGAAGCTCTCAGGAGGAGAGGCCAGCAGAGGGATACTCAACCTGGTGGGGATAAGGAACCTCAAAGGAAGGCTGCCTAGAACAAGTGGCCAGAAGTTCGGTCTTAAAGTAAGATAGGAGTTAGCCTTCCTCTTTGTGAGATGAGGGGTCTGATCTCCAAGCCTTGTTCTCTGCTCCCAAATTGGATTGCTTAGCTCTGTTACAGGCCACTACTCTGTGTCACTTATTGGTGAACCTTCCAGACAGCTGGTTTAGAATGGAGTGACACACTCATCTCTGGTTCCCTCTCTGTCATCTCCTGTAGGATGACCCTTGCAGCTGCCCTGTAAGGGTGATGGACCTTTTCTGTCCACTTCCTCTTGCAGAGGGTAGAGGCATAGAGCTCTGTCAGCCTAACCGTGCGGCTTCTCTTGCTGGTGAGCCAGAGGAGAGAGTGCTAGGGTGATGTGCTTGCAAGCAGTGATCATGAAACCCAACCCGGTCCTGTATGGTGGGCTTTCATCACACATGTTCTACTCTACTTCTCTATCCTACCCATCAAGGAGTCACCAGTGTGGGAGATAAGTATTTCATTGTCTGTATTCATCTGTTCTCTCCTCTTGGATTTTTGAAAGTTATTGGTTATTTGCTACATTTCCTGAGCCGATGATTCTCCTAGAATCCAAGGAGTACCTGAGGAAAATGTTATGTTCTCTTCCCATTCTAGCCAGTCTTCAGCCTGTCCTTTGCTCTCTCGGACCTTATCCTTCAGCCAGCCCTTGGGGATTATGCAGTTTTCTGCTCAGCCTGTCAAGAAATATAAATCAGTTTTATTGTGTTAGCTTTATCTCCTCACTCTATAAATGTGAATCTACCATGTGATAGTGTTTAAATTTTTTTTTCATATTCCAAGGATGATATAACCTTACTTATTATCCATCTCTTGGTATCAGGCATTCACATCTATCCTTACACGATAATTTTCATTTCTCTCTTTTATCTTCTTTCATAGTTTGGTAATGTGAGCAAAAAAAAAAATTGTTTAATAACACTAGTAGAGTTTTCTTTCAACCTACACCACTTTGATGCAACTTTCTTCACATATCTAGCTCCACCTTTAAGCTTTATTTCTTAATATGTGCAGTGATTACAAGGATGGCTTATTCAGGATGGGCAATTTGCTGCTCACACTTCTACCTTTCAGTTCGCAAGGCAGCATTTAGAAGGTGACCAAAATAGACCTGTAGGTATGGACAATATTAGGGAAGTAGTCACTTCTAGGTGCTCTAAAAACGGGGTTGGATAGAGATCCACGTTAGTTTATGGCACAATCCCCAGGGGAGGCCAAGATCAGGTAGAATACATTTGGAAACTTGGTATCAACACCAGTTTTCATAGTGTCTTCTCATTGGAATTGGCCTTGTGGCCGGAGTGTCGGTGCAGGGAGCTGACAGATTCCCGGGCTATACACCTGCGTTAGAGAGCTTAGTCTCCCACAGTGTTTAAGTTCAAGGAAGTCTCCAGGGATATTATCTGCAACACTGTTCTGTGTAGGGTGGGAGAAAACCCTAATGAGTGGGCATGGGGCCGAGGGTGGGAAGTGGATGGGAGAATTCAAGTCAGTGAAAAGAACATGGAATTCTTTGTATTTAAGAGGGGGGTAAACAATGAAGAATTTGACCCGTTCTTAAGTACTTATTTCATTCTAAGCCAGCATTTCAGTAGTGTGACAAGCTCATTTTTCATTGCCATTTACCTTTCTTATAAAAACAATGGCTCATAATATCGTCTGATTAAACGACTGAGCATTTTGGATCACAAGCTTGTCCATTACTGTGTAGGCTGTTATTGTGCAATAAGTAGAAAATCTTGCTGAATATATGTATATTGACTTAGACCAGCTATAGTCTTAAGAATTTCCAATAATCTCAATTTCCTCTTAATTCTGTAGCCAGTTTCACTGTACTTGCAACTAAACTATAGTTTTAGCCCATATAATTATTTTGTCTGTAGGAAAATGTCAGTAGTTCTGACAATTTTAATTCCTGTGTTTGCTGACTGCATTATCTTCTGAATCATAGGTTCCCAAATCAAGTCAAACAGGTTAGAAGACAAGTTACACTTGAGCGTCACACCTACTCTTATCTTAAACGAATGTGGGAATGTATCAGCCACTTTCACTGTGTTAAGTAGTTCATTTCTGGCTTCTCATGTACTTTACCTATTTTTATTTTTTCATTTTGGCTATGACCCAAATTTTCCCAAGCCTCCTAAGTGCAAAAAACATGTTTAAGTATCTGTAGTTTTAAAAAAATATATATGTTTTTACCCATCCCTTTGAAAATCTGCAGGGTGGATTACCCAGAGTGTACAGAGTGGAGATTGTAATGACAACTGCTCACAGGCCAGGATATTTATCATTTAATCAAGAGAAGAAAAAGATGTTTTATGTATTCATTTACCCATTTTAGTTATCATTGTTATGGGTGTTGCCCAATACTAGGAATTTCCTAGAAGAAATAGAATACAGGAGTTGGGGGGTACAGTGTCTTGGAACCATCCAGAACTTGAATCTTAGTTCTTGGAACCATCCAGAACTTGAATTCTGTGCACTGCATCTCCTTCAAGTTCCCTCTACTCAGACACTCTTATAGGACATCCTCTCTTGGCCTTTCAGCCCTTTTCATCTTTGGATCTGAAGACTCTCCCACATAGTAGTTATTTCAGTATTCAAGGACCACTGCCAAGCTCCCGAAATTTTTCTGTACTTTGAACAGTTTCTTCACCATGTAATGTAGATAACACACTTTCATGTCTCCTTTCCCCATCTTGATGGTTCTTCTCTGGGCAGCCTCTAATACGTAATTTTCCCTCTTAAACTCAAATACCTATAACTGAACACAAAAATTATTCCCTGGGCTTACCTTTGGGGATGGAGGTGGTGGATGGGATCCAAAGAGAGTTCCTCTTAGTTTTGGTGGTGATACTTCTTAGAGCAATGTTAAGACATGAGGAATGATAGTACTTCTGTTTTCAGTTACAGCGTGTAGATAAAAATTAGTCAGTTCTTTAGAACTTAAAAGTATCTTCATGGGATTCGTAAGAAGTTAAGAGTCTCTGAAAAGATCAGTTGACCTGCTAACACTGACAATTTTAGGGCATTTTAAGAAAAACCCAAGTACCTCAAGTATCTCCATTCAAAAAATACTTCCTAACTGCTTATGTAAATCAGGAACTGTCAGATTTTGGAAACAGAGAAATCAATAAAACATGACTACAGCCTTGAGGAACTCAGAGTAATAGGGAAGACAGCAGTAAACAGTTTGTTTACACCTCAGTGTGAGCGGTGTGTCCAGCACCTCAGTGGAGGCACGTTCTTGCCACCATGGAAGTAGAGGGCATGGTGTGGAGTGCCCTCTGCTCTATTCCTATACCTCTCAGCATTGTATTCTTTTAACTTCTGCGTATTGCTGACATTTATGCTCAGTGTGTTCTAAACACTTCTTATAGGGGCTTATATATGTCATCTCATTTATATATGTTGATCCCTTAAAGGTTGGTCCTATCATGTGCCCCCAAAATGGGGGAAATGGGCAGAGATTAAGTGACTTGTCTTAATTCATAGTAATTGTTGGATCCAGAATTCACACCCAAGCTTTTTGCTCTTAACCAATGCTCTGCGCTACCTTTCTCAGAGGGAGGTTTTATTTAAAGCAGTAGTTCTCAGCCAGGGGTGATTTTGCCCCCTAAGAAACATTTGGCAATATCTGTAGACATTTTTGATTGTCACAACTGGCATCTAGTGGGTAGAGGTCAGGGATGCTGCTAAACATCCTCCAATGTACAAAAAAACCCCCAAAAAACCAGTACAAAGCATTACCCAGCCTAACATGTCCAAGGAATGAGGTTGACAAACGGCTTTGGAGCATGGGTAGTACTCTCTTTGTGTCAGCCTTTAAAAATACCCTTTTAAGTCCTTAAAAACAGAAAAAAAAGAAGGAGGAGAAGAAATGGCTTACTATGGAGCAAAACATACTGAACCAAGTTCCTAAGTGTCTGGTGAAGTGTATTTTGTCACTTGTTAAATTGAGAAAATATTGCCGCCTTCGCCTATCTTAGTAGATACCAAGGATCTGAGGAGGCTCAGTGAGAATTTCAGGAGCTAATACGTAAGAAAGCCCTGTAAAATAATTATTATCAGAAATTCCCAGAGTCCTTGGGGTCTAAAATATTTCGGGAATCATAAGAATTAGATAAAGAGGATCCCAAAGTGCACTTCTGTTCTTTATTTATCCCCCCCCCCCCGCTTTGTCAGCTGACCCCCCTCCCCTTGTCTCTCTCATATTTCTGTAAGCAAGTTTGTTTCCAGTATGTCGTAAGTGAACTAAACCATTTTTATGAGTTCTTTTTATTAAAATCTTGTAAAATTTACTATCTCTCACCCTGTTACGCCAGATTTAAGGCAGTTAATTTAAATCCTAATTTTTTTTCCTTCATAGACTTTCACACAAGCATTTTGTCAGTTTGGGGAGTTATTTGAATACCATGCCTTTCAAGATGAACAACAGTAACATGGATTCAACCTTCCCTTACATTCCTTCAAGTCTGAGCACACGTGGAAGGGAAATAATGGAGCATTTGTTAAATAAACGCCAGGTAGTGTCTTTACAGGTAGTAGCTGACCATTCCCGGGCCGTGTTTGCTGTCCATGAAGCCAAACAGGTGCGCCTGCCCTAATTCAACAAATGGATGTAAACTCATAAATATAGGTGACTGACGTTTTCCGTGAGTGTGGCATCCCCTTGGCGTGCTTTTCCTGCAAGCAGCGTCTGGTAAAGAGTAATTACTCACTTCCTAGGAGTGTTTTCCTGGTGATCCATTCTGCAGTGAATCACAGACCAGCCTTCAGGTGTGCGCCTCGCTCACTTCACCGAGTGCCCGCCGCGGCTGGATTGATTTATTTATTTGGGGGGAATGATCCATCTGGGGCCGCGAGCTGGGGGCGCGGGGCGCGGGCGGGGGATGCCGGGGTCCGGGCTGCTCCTGGGCTCGCGCACGGGCCCCGCCGGCCCCCTTTCCCATGAGGCCTCGCTCCCGGGGGAGGGTCTGCGGGTGGGGAGGGGGCCTCCCCCGGCCCAGCCCCTGGCCGCCGAGCCTCACAAAGGTGTCCTGTTCAAGTCCGCCTGGAGGCCAGCTTTCTAAAAGTGCTTGTAAGTTTCCTCCCCCCTCGCCCCCCCCCCCCGAAGGGGGCGAAGAGGCGCTTTTTGTATTTCAGTTCTTTTCCTTGTATGTAGATACCAAAAGGAAACTCGGCACTGGGCATGTTCGGATGTTGAATGGTTTGCTGATAAGCAACAGCCTCCCGGAACCAAAGACTTAAAATAGTCGTCTCCCCCCGCCCCCCCGCAGGAGCTGCAAATGGTATCTGCCAAACAGATGACAAAGTACCTTGGACTGAATCACACACAGACAGCATTTTGTGCAGAACGCACGGCCCAACTCTTGTAATTACTGTTTATAGCTGCCCAAGGCTGACCAGGAGGGGGCAAACCCGAGAGGAAATAAGTTTCCTGGACCTTGGAGAAATGGCTGTGTGTTAATTGAAGGCTAGGACGGGTACTTTTCAGACGTGCTCCAAGTTGTTCTTGAGATCACAGTTCACAGCACGTTTCCCCTGGAGGGAGCGAGTAGATAATTGGGATTTTTTTTTTTCCTTTTGCCGTTTTACCGCCCCCTCCCTGGTTTGGCCTTATGGCCTTGAACCCACAGTGAATTGAAGAGAGAAAGAAATGGATATGTCTGACCCCAATTTTTGGACTGTGCTCTCAAACTTTACTTTGCCTCATTTGAGGAGTGGGAACAGGCTTCGGCGAACACAAAGGTAAAAAAACCGCGGGGATGCTTTGCCTGGAGAGGGAGTATGTTGGCTTTGGAGGCGGCCGGACTGCCCAAGCCCCTTAGCAGCTGGGGGTTTGTTTACTGGGCGACAGTTTGGAAAGTTTCTCCCCTGCCAGGGGGGCACTGTTTCAGGTATTCTTCTGTCATCCTGGCGGATTTCCTGCGTAATCCTGCTGGCCTGTGCTTCTCGAGTTGTTCTTTTGAAATGTGGGTGAGAAGGGGATGAGTTGTGAGTAGAGGGGGGAGGAAAAAGGGAGGAGGAGAGGTACTTTGTCTGAGTCTGTCTCTGATCTGATCAGATTCATCCGCTTCCTTCACTCAGGCACTGGAGGCTTCTGCTTCCCTTTGTAGAGCCTTTCAGATGTTCCCTTCTATTAAATATTTGACCTTTATAAGATGCAGATGTGCAATGCAAGGATCGCTCCATTTAGCCTGTTTCGTATTGTCTGCTTGAAAGAGACAGGTCTGCATAACTTTGCCATTTTGTTTTTTTACTGGTTTGCTGACATTTATTCCTACTACAGGCTGGCCTTTTCATTTTGTAACATATTTGACAGAATAGGTGGAGGACAAGAGAATTTTAAAATCAGGATGAAGCTGGTGGCAGAAGTGAAAGGCAGTTCAGAGTTAGTTGCTGACACTCAGATTGAGAGAATATGATTTTGGAGGGGAGTGTTTCTCTTCTCTCCCCATTGTGTCCGGCACAGAAAGGTGGCATTATTGTGGTTTCAGAAGGGCGTGCCTTCTGAGTTGCGTAACTCTAGGTTCTTCGTTTTTCTTCGCAACTTGACTTGCACGGTCCCCATGAATGTGTTTAAGAGCGATGGTGCCTTCACATAAACAGGATGCTGCCTATCAGGCTGGGAGCTTCATAATCTCTGTGCTCCAGTGTGTAAAGAACACAAGAAATGGTGTATTCTCTTTGTTATATCCATAACTTTGTGTAGCGTGAATGCAGATACCTCATACTTTGGAAAACTTAGTAAATTTTCCTTCCGAAATTTCCCATGGTATTTTGTAGATTTCAGAAGCATCCTGACGTGCCGTATTTGTAGGCGCACGTGCAAATATACACCTATAAAACACACCTCTGTCTGATCCTGAGTAGACTTTTAAAGTCATACTTACCTTTAATACAACCTGAACAGTGTTGGTCCCACAAAACCGTGTTAGAATCTAGATTTAAATTAAGGTTAACTAGGCTTTTCTTGTTCTGCTCCATGTGTTCAGAGACCTGACCTTTCGGTGTTGGTCGTTTTTATTCAAGATGTGTCATCCTTGCTCCCCCCCCCCAGCAAAATAAATGCAACTAATTAGTTGAAGAGATAATGCTGTCTATGAACAAGACCACAACTTTCGTGGCAGTACATTCTGTAACTTCTTACCTTTCGAGTTTGTCAGGGGCCCTTAAATATTTGAGTGGTGTGGTCCTGGCTATGATGCGGTCTCTACTCTCACCTGAAGCCACTCCTCAAAGAGATTGGGCTGTTCTGACATCGCACCTGTGTGTCTGCACCTGAAGAGCGGTTGGAGCCTTTCTTTGCCCCGTCTACCTGTTGATAATATTACTGAGAATTCTCAGGCTAGTCTGACCCTGACTTTCCAGCCCAGGGCATTCCAATCCAGAACACTGCAATTCAGACAGCTCACATTGGCAGAGAGCCCGAGTTCTAAGTTCCTTCTTAAAGAACTGAAGTAACTTAGGCTCTTCCCAGCAAAGTGGGCGAGTGTGGGAGGCCTTTCCCCACTCCCCAAGTCACGGACCCGTTTTTTCAGTTCAGTGAAACAGAAAAGGGGGTGGATTTTCTTCCCTCCCTTCTATTAGTGGAAGTTGTCCCAGCCTGTTTGTGACTGGGGATTTCCAGGATTCTCGGAGTTTGGAGATAGTTTTCCTGAAGATCACCTCTGTGTACATCTACTTATTATCGGTCTCAAAGGACCAGCACTGCTTTATATTTATTATGTAGATTTGGAAACTTGAAGGGCAGGTGTCTTCCTGTCCAGGGCGATATATGTAGCTGTTGCATTCTCTTATTATACAGTGATCAATTCCAGCTCTGTGTCCTTCCCAAGGGCGCGTAGCACATGCTTACAGTGGGACTCTTCCCATTCTGTGACCTCCCTTCACTGCTCTAAATGCTGTGTCCTCCTCCAACTGCCACATTAACCCCATTCTGCACCTGACTGATCAGGTTCCCTAAGTCTGTCCTTTCAAAAGGACCTTGCCATCCTCAAGTTGTCTTTTTGCCAGGCTCACTGTGAATGTACCCAGTGTCCAGGTGAGGACACCTGTCCCTCGCCCTCAAGTGTGTGAGCCCTAGCCCTGGGAATATGTCTCCTGCCCAGACTTAGCTTTTTTTCTGCATACTTGCTGACTTTGTCCAATTGATCATTCATTTTACATGGGTTTTTTTTTTTTTTCCCTAGCCACTTGTTCTCATTCACGTTGTAATTTAGAGGACTTTATCTTAACCTTTTCTTTAATATCAGCTTCTCGCATCCATCAAAGAGTAAATCCAGCTTTGAGCATGTGAATGAACATCTCAGAGCTTTTTGGGGTGGGGGGTGTGTACCATTTAGACAAAAGAAGGAGAGTTGAAGGGTTTCACACTCTTCCCTCAAGTCTATATTATGGTAGACATTTTCATCATGGAAGCCTTTTTGGTTGGTTCCATTTGCCTCGCCGATTCAGCATGGTACTGGTTTGTTGCTTTGCTCTGTCACAGGAAAACTTTGAAAGTTTCTTTTCCAGCTGGGCCTGCCTGGGCCTGTAACTTTAAACTCTCTGGGTTCTTAGAGAGAAGATCGTACAGACCTAATCTCAGGCCTAGATTTTTACACAGTATTGAATTGATATTCCTTGTCCTGCGTCCCAAAGACCGTTTATTGTCCCCTTCAGGCTTTTTTGTCTTGACTGTGACAGACAACAGGTTGTCTGGATGCATGTGGACTTTGCTGTCTTGCTGGAAAGCTTACATAGTCCATTGGAAACACTTTACTTTTTTATCATATATTCTTTATTTTACGGGAAATTATCTGTTTTTTAATTTTATGAAAACTTCTATAAATACTCTATAAAGTCTTAAACCTTTCAAAATATCCTTACTTTCTCTTACCTTGCTGTCATTTAAAATTGAGTTTAAGTGATGCAGTCTTAAAGCTTATACTTCTAGGGAATATTTGCCTGGAAGAAAACCTCATATGTTCTGTCAACAAATTATTAACACATGAAGTCCAACAATGTATGAAAACAGACATCATGACCAGTTTATCCCAGGTATGCAAAGATGGTTCAGCACTAGAAAATCAATCAATGTAATCTGTCACAGAAATAAGCTTAGTAAGGATTATCACATGATCACATTAGTATATGTGGAAAAAGCACTCGAGAGGATTCAGTACTCACTCATGACAAAAACTCTCAGAAAACCAGGCGCAGAGGGGAACTTCATCTACTCAATGGAAAATATCTACGGAAAACCCCCAGCTAGCACATACTTAATACAGTAGTCCCCCCGCCCCCAATCTCTGATTTCACTTTCTGCAGTCCCCGTTATCTGTGCTCAGCCACAGTCCAGAAGCCAATGATAGTGGCCTAAGACTAGGTCCCAGTGCCTACGTCACTCGCCGCACTGCATCTCATCACACACACATTTTGTCATCTTACATCACAAGAGACAGAGGCCATATTCACCTGACTTTTATTATAGTATGTTGTTATAATCTATTTTATTATTAGTTACGGTTGTTAATCTCTTATTGTGCCAAATTTATGAATTACATTTTATCATCGGTATCTATGTATAGGAAAAAACATAGTGTATATCTAGGGCTCAGTACTATTTGCAGTTTTAGGCATCTACTTGGGGTTTTGAAACATATCCTCTGTGAATAAGGGGAACTAGCATAGTGAGAAACTTGGAGTTTTCCTTGCTTAGATCAGGTAGAAGGTAAAAATGTCCCATCTCATCACTTCTCTTTAACAGGAAACAGTTTCTTTTTTTATGTTTGGCTTTGCTTCCCCTGCCCCTACGTTATTTCTGCAAGGTTAACTCAGTACAACCATTCACCTGCTGCTTGGAGGGACAGAAATCCAGGGCTGCTATATGTTACTCCTTAGGTTTATAACATTTTCCCCCCTTTGGATTAAAAACTTTGTGGGGGGAGGGAAGAAGATCCAGCTTCTCTCTTTCTCTCTCTCTTTAAGCTTCTTTTTTTACTTATATTACATATGTAAAGAAAGGACTAACATTGGTCTATAAATATTGCTGCTCAGTTTTGAGGTGCGACTTTAGTGTTGCTAAAGCACAGTTTAGAGATTCTAGAAGATGTTTGGTTTTTAACCTTAATGGTCAGAAATCTCATACTTTCATTGAGTTTATGTGACAATATCCAAATCTCAGTGACAACTGAATCAAGTGTCATTATCCATGCCAGTGGGCAGCTTGCGACTCAGTCACTTGGAGCAAGTTTCCTAATGTATTTTGCCGAGAACCCACGGGATAAAAGTTGGTTTTGGGGTTTCGTGTGTGTGTGTGTTTTATGTTTCTGAATTCACATTCCTAAGCGGTTGCCCTGAACAGCAGTTACATTTGGGGATCTTAAACTCACCGCTGCAACTGTCAGAATGTATTGGATTTTTATGTATGCTACATCTTCTTTTCAGAAACATCTGTAGTGTTGGGTGAGCTTTTGTTTTTGCTCATGAATATGTGTCTTTAAAAAGTATGGAGAACACACCTGTCTCTTGTCCTGACACGTTGAGTATTATTGAGTTTGTACTCAACCCTTCTGCGGAAAGTCCAGTTAAATCCACATTTATTGAGCATCTGTTGTGTGCCTGAGCACTGTGGCTCAAAGGTGAGTCATAGGATTGCCTTCAGTGCAGTCATGGGAATGAATCATTGCAAACCAGGGCAATAAAGAAGTATTTGTAAGGTACATATAAGCCTTAGGAGTGGTCATTGGGGAAGGGAGACTTTAGTCTCAAGGAGCCAAAAGAGAGACCACATAGAAGAGGCATCACCTCAGGGAAGTTTTAAAGGATAGTTTGGTATTTATCAGACAGAAGGACGGGGCCTTCCCAAAGGGCAAAAGAAATGGTGTGAACAAAGGCATAGTGGCCTTAACAGAGCTCAAGGGACCACACATAACTCAGTATTGCTGGAGCATAAAAAACCAGAAGCATAACTCAGTATTGCTGATGCATAAAGTTTGGAGAGGCAGTGTAATATACCACAATGCTGAAGAGGATTGATCTAAAGCCGGTTCACCTGGGTTTGAATGAGATTGGGGAAGTTTGTTGGACTTCAGTTGCTCCATCTATAAAACAGGGACAAGTAAATTACTTACAGGATTGTTATAGTGAGTAAAATATGTTCATATGTATAAAATGGTTAATGCAACGACTGGCATGTAAAAACCTTGTAAATACTGGGCATCTGGGTGGCTCAGTCGGTTGGGCGTCTGCCTTCAGCTCGGGTCGTGATCCCAGGGTCCTGGGATCGAGTCCCGCATCGGGCTCCTTGCTCAGTGAGGAGCCTGCTTCTCCTCCTCCTTGCCTGTGCTCTCTGTTGCTGTCTCTCTCTTTCAAATAAATAAATAAAATCTTAAAAAAAAACAAACCCTGTAAATCCTAAGTATTCACGTTGTTTCTATCATTACAACAAGGGGATGAGTATTGGGTGATGAGGCTAAGGACGAGAGTTGAGGCACTTGATATTTGTGGGTGCTTGCTTGGCCTTTCCCCAAAGGGAGAAGGCATGTCTGGCAGCGCTGGGGAGTTTAGGTCTGGAAGGGAAGGGTGAGACCTGGAAACCAATTAATAAGTTATTGCAGTAGCCTGTCTAAAGGGTTTTGCAGATCTGACCAAGGAATATGGTGAGATTGTGGCTTTGAGAGACACTGAGGATATAAAGTTGATCAAAGTTGATGAGCCACTGGCTCTGAGAGACAAGGAAACAGTCCACAGTGGCCCTGGGGATTTTGACCTGGGGGACCAGGGAGATGAATGAACTACCTGTACATGCAAGAGTGGGGGAAGGGAAGACAAAAGAACTTGTACTCATTCCTTTGATCCCCAGAAGCCTAGTTAATCTACATTTATTGAGCATCTAACGTATACTGAATACCATGGAGCATTCATTCCTTCACTCAGCCAAGATTCACAGCACCAATATCCTGTGCTGTGCAAGGGCTATAATGGTGAACAAGGCAGAGTGTTTGGGCCTTGCAAATAAGCATCTAAATAAGTCAGTTGCCCAATGGTGGTCAATGTTCCAAAGGCTATAAGCAGGTGTCGAGAAGAGAGTCACAATGTGAGGGGCTACTTTAGATAATGTGGTGAGGGAGTGTCATTGAACAGGAGACCTAAAAGATGGGAAAGAGCCATCTGTGGGGAGTATCTGGGGTAGGCATCTGGGAAGGGCAAGGGCTCTGAGGCAGGAAGGAAAGAGCCCACAGGCAGGAAGTTTTGGATGTGAGGGTTCAGGGCACCAGGGAGGCTGGACCAGAAATAATAAGCTTGAGAGTCATCATTAGGACCATCTGAGAAATATGTTAGATAAATCTGTGGGAGAACTAAGGATGCCCCATTTAAGGAGTGGGCTGAGATGCAGGCAGGCACAGGGAAGGAGGCCTGGAGGAGAGTCTGGTAAAAAGGAAGCCACACAGTGTACTCAGAGAGATCCCAAGAGGAGGCCGGGCAGCGCTGTCACTCCACGGGGACACAGAAGGACAACAGGGAAGGCAGGGATGCCCTCAGCATGAACACCAGCCGTGGTGATGGGGTAGTGGGGGTGGGGGCGCGGCCGAGGAGCCGGGCGACAGCCGCCAAGTGAGGAATGGCAGACCATGGGTGGTAACCACCCTCTGTGGGTAGCTGACTACCGTGGTGACACATCACTGTGTCCTGGCTCCTGCACACTCACAGCTGGCCCATCGGCTCTCCTCCCTGAAGCATATCCCCTTACTCACTGTTGCTCACTTTACTGTCTGCTTCATCGCCCAAACGGGCAATGACAGTTTCCTTTTCACCACCTCGCTGGAAGCTCAGGCTCTGTCCACTGCCTTCTGAGTGTCTCCTTCCTAAGTGCTCTGGCTTCAGATCCCTCGCTCTGAGTGCCTCTGGCTACCCCCCCCCCCCCCCCCCCCCACCGCCACAACCCGCCGCCCACCAGCACTTTGGCTCCGGAGCTTGAGCTCTGCCTCTCCCCACAGCCGGTTCCACAGGAGGCTGAAACCTAGCTCACTGGCTGGCCTCCTCGCAGGCTCTCCACGCCTGACCTGCAGGCTCGGCCCCTCCCCGAGTCTCTGTACCCATTTCCTCCCACTCCATGCTCTGCCCAGGCCTGTTTCCTAACTGCTTCCTTTCATCCCTCTCCTTTCTTCAAGCTCCAGACTGTGTTTTCTGCAGGCGGGACAGGCCTGCCTGTCACTGCAGGACTCACCCTTCAGTCCGCCTCTCATGATTAGCTCCAGCATTGGTGCTTGTCCGTGAAACCCTCACTCATGGGTCCTCCTCTCCTAGTCTAGTAGGAGATACTCTGAGGGAAGAGGAGAAAGCTGAGAGCCCAGCCAGGAGCTCCCAGCAGCTCTCTGAGTGCCGTCTGGGCAGAGCCTGGATGCCCCAGACCAAAGCAGCATGTTCTTACAGACTCCTTGCGTATCCTGTACCCTGTTAAAGCTTACCAGGTACAAAGGACATGAGTAGGAATACACATATGGTGATAATGTCATTTTTATTCTCTAGTGTGAAGCTTTCCGTAGGAGATTACCGATTGTTTTGCCCCTTTGAATAGGTAGGTCTCCTGACGGTTAAGAGGGAGGGAGAAAGAGAGAAGGAAAGAAATGAGAAGGGAGTGTGTGTGAGAGAGAGTGCAAAAGGTGGATTTTAGAAGAAGTTCTTTAAAAATAAACCGTTAGACTATGGAGCCTGCTCCATGGGCAGGCGTGGGCTATCCATTACTAGAACTTGTCAACACTGGAAGGAGTGTGTGTATGTGTGTCACTAAGTTCACAGAGACAGGGTAGAACATTATATGCTTTATGGCTTTTCTTGCTTCTCTTTACACATAGGTCCTGTTATCAGAAGCCCAGGTAGTATCTTTAAACAAGAGGATCATAAGCCTCAAGATAGAGGCCATCTGCCTTTTGGGCTGAAAACTGACAGATTTTGGGGTTAAGTAATCACTCGAGTCCCTGTGTGGAAATGGATCATAGAGGAGAAAACTGGGAATGGGACTCCTTCTGAATAATTTGGGAGACAACTCCTTGTATTGGCTGAAATGGAAATAGGCTGGTTTCTCAGAGAGATTAAGACTGGAAGCCCCTCACCCCCCCCCCACTCCCAGACACACCCATTTCTTGTGTGAGTGAGCATGCATAAGCTATTTTAATCTGAGCTGCCTTTACTACATGTAACCTAGTCATTTGGGAGTGACGTCATGGTAACTGAGTAATCCCTTTGAAAGTTAAGTGGTAGAGCCAAGATATTAAAATGGTCCTAGGGCTACCTGGATGAAAGTGGGAGCAGGGTGTGTATAAATCCATTTATTAGAGGCACAATCTCTATCAGTGGAAGTCTTGACTCTGAAGTAGCAAATTTGGTTTTTGTGGTATGTGGGACATTGTGTAACTAGAAAGATCTCTAAATAGAAATTCCCATGGTTGTTAACACTTGTAGTTCTGGTTCTTTATTTTCTTTTCCTCTATCTTGGTAATTAGGAAAGTTCCCTTGTGAACTTGGTTGTGAATTCTGAAAGTGTTGACCTTAAACCTTATTAATAGAATGAGAGGATCTGCAGGAGGTTTAGCCACACTAATCGCCATTGGGCATGCTTATTAGAGAAGGAGTATACCAGTATCAGCCTGAAACATCATACTATTGTGTTGTTTCGTTTTGTTTTTTTAAAGGCCTGAGCAGAGAACTTAGGCTTTGATCAGCATTTGAAGGTGAAACAGACTGGTAAGGAGAATGGGCAGTCATTGCTTGGGTTGTTACAGAACCCTGGGACTTTGTACATTCCACTGACTTTGTGATCTTAGATTTATCCATGGCTCAGATTGTGTTCAAGTCTGGGATCTCTTAGGAAACTGTAATTGCAGGCAAACATACAGGCAAAATCCAGATCTTGGCATGTGGTCACCCAGCGGCCATTTATGTTCTGAAGTTCTCAAGTGAGCTTTTGCTCTTCCAAGGTAAGAACCAGCTCCATGTCCCTGGAAACTTTATAACATGACATGGCAGTTCAAATTCCAGATCTCTATGGGAGATAATGTATTAGTTCGCCAGTGAATCACCTGGGCGGGAGGAATGAGGAGCTGATGACACTTGCTGAGAGCTCCTAGGGTCATAGAATCAGAGAGGGAAGAAAACTGATGGATTCACCAGGCTCATTTTGCCTGATGAGTATTTGCTGAAGCTGTTTTTGCTATGCTTTATTATAATTTTAAACATCACAGTGCATGTTGATGTCTCAGGACCCTGACTTTGACCTTACTGCATTTCTCTCTTGAGTCACTTAGAATATTGTCTAGCCACTGCCAGAATTCTTAGCCACTAAATTAGAAGAAAATCACTGAACCTATAGCTTGCATAAAAAATCACCTGTATCCCTTTAACATTCATACCTTTTAAAATACTATATGATGGGGATCCTTAAATTGGAAATCATAATTATTAAATGTTTTACTTTTACAGATATATGGAGGGGTTAAGAGAAAACAGTGTATTTGTCATGGGAAAATCTGCCTGCTGAATAAAGCACTCTAGGAAATATGGTAAATGAAACCTTTGTTACTGTAAAACAATAGCCATTAAGTGACTATTATGTAATGTTATTTCTTATGTCTGATTTGGAATGGCTTGTTGATCTTGAAACTTGAGATAAAATTCCTGTAAAAATACTACTTTCATTTGGCTAATCTCAAGACTTTGGATACAAAATCAAAGACTTTTCCAAGTGGATTACCTTGGTCAGACATTGAGCCCTAGAGATATTGAAGCCATGTCGGATAGATTTTTTTTCCATGTAAGGATTAATTTTATCCACTTGGTATTCTCCATTTGAGTACCCATCCAAATAAACACAAATTATTTGCTAATCCAAAAAATGATTCATTGTACAATTAACCTACACTTGCTCAACCACTCCAAAGGGCACACAGGTGGCAAAACAGCTGATAGGCACTCTCACCTAACTTGGCAGGTTGAATGGTTGATGATGCATTTGCATTTTCCATAAATGATGGATTTTTAAGCAAAGGAAGTTTTTAATCGTAGATCTCAAATGGCCATAGCAGCTAAGAGTGGAACAGGGAGAGTATGGGATAGTTCAGGGGTGTGTTAGGTCATAGTTCTTTTTATGGATTCTGCAAAATGAGCTTCTGTGCTTACAAATCATAATTTCCTGTGTGTTTTAGGATTTGATATTTGGGGTTAGATGTTTGGACCCAGAGAGTTAGTAAGGGATAAAACTTGCCATATTTTTACTATGTGACCTATAAAATTTATATGTAGTACTCTTTGTCAGTAGTTGTTTTCTCTGTAGTCAATTTCAGATGAGTTAGCCTTCCAAATCTAGGATTTTTAAGGTGAGAAATTAATAGTGGTTTGTATAAGCCTTCTTAACATAAGAATCCAGGCTCAAGAGTTCCACTCTCTTCAGTCCAGTTCTTAGAGCTTGGTGGTTTTGATGCCATTTTACCGGCAACATCATTGCCCAGATGCCTTCTAGGTAGGTGGACCAGTTTTTTTGAAATTGTGATTGATGACATATCATTTGTTGGCTTCTTAAAAGAAATTCTTTAAATAATAGAAGTTGTGATTTGTCTTACCTTAGGAGAATGAACCTTAAAATTAGTCTACCTTCTCACACCAGACCTAGGGTGATTTGGGAGTCAAAAGGTACAGATAATTGAGCTGTTTAGCTATTAATATGATGCAACATTTTGATGCCATTCCTAGGAAACACATTCCATGGAATGGGTCCCGGGTTTAAAAATCCATGAGGAAAAGGGTTCTGACTCCTGGCACTAACAGACATATTCAGAAATGTTGTATTCAAGCCAGAGTAAATATATATGCCCTTTACACTTTCTTTCAGTTAGCAGAAGTCACCTCTAAACACTTATTTTGGCATTAAGGAAGCTCGTCATGACCTATTGTTCCAGAAAGATTATAGTTCTCATTTTAAGCCAGTTTTCTAGTTCCCGTGTGAGTGGCGTGCCCAGCCCAGAGCCGAAGAAACAAGCTTGGCTTTTCAGACCTTCCATTCTTTTAGGTGTGTCCTGCAGGCAGTGGCTTGTAGCTGTTTCTTCAGCCACTTAACAGGTTTGATTTCAAATCTATTTAATAAGAAACTAACATGTTTGGAGGGGATTCATGGCCCAACATTTATGGACTTTGTTGGGAAGTTCCAGGTGTGTATATATCTTGAACTCTATGTTAAGGCATATTAGACTAAAATGATGTCGGTTTTATTTTGCTTGTTTTGTTTTTGCCTTCTAGTCATAGACTGAGTTCCTTAGGATGTCTTAGGGATTGGATTGGGACGGGACAGCCCTGGTACTCGAGGCCATGCAGCTCCTCTGTCAATTTCTTTTCTTTGGTTACCTTGGCAGCACTAGAGAGGAGTCAAATGATTATAAACTGGACCTAAAGATAGAGCAACCAGAGGCTCAGAACTGGAGCATTAACCTCTGAAGCGTGGGACGTTGTTTTTATTTAAAAATACTTGGAGGGGTTATTAATGAGTTACACATTTCTGTGTGATCCTTTTCCTGCTTTGTGGCTTGCGGATAGCCTGAATCACCTTCTGAATCCTGATAACCTAATAACCTAGTTTGACGACATTTGACTTCTGTGCACAGGGTCTGGGGGCTCATCGCATTGCCTCATTTACTTATTTATGTACCAAATATTTATTGAGTAGCTTTTATGTGATCAGGGCTGTGGTTATCACCTGGGAAACAAAGATGTGTATGGCATGGTCCTTTTCTTCTAGTGGGGTTAGAAAGCAGTATAGCCAGGTTAATTACAATAACGTGTGAGAACGGTAGGAGATAGACCAACATCAGCAAAGGAAGAGGGAGAGGCAGAATATCTGTTGAGGCAGTTTGGTATATGTTGTCTCATTTAATCCAATCTATAAGATCTATTATACAGATGAGACAATTGAGGCTTAAAGAGATTAATGAACTGTACCCAAATCTCAACGGTACTAAGAGGTAAATCTGGATAGAAACTTAACTGTACTATCCTGTCTCCAAGAGACATAGAGCTCTCACAATATTCTAATTATTGAAAATGATACTTGTAAGATTTTAGGTTTTATAGTGCAGAAGCTTCCTGGCAATTTGAGGATATGTGTGGAATACAGAGTCCTGATAATTTTGATCTTTGCTATTAAAATGCCACCTGCTGTCTGTGCGAAGAGAGTGAAAAACAGAAGTAGGTTTTACTTTGTTTTAAAATGCCACCTGCTGATTCTCTCCCATTAATGGAAATTGTATATGTATTCTCCTGTAATTTCCCCATCTTAAAGTATCAGAGTTTATAATGGTATTTGAGTGGGCGTGTACTTTTAAAATTGAGGTTTTACTTATGATATAGCTCTGAACAGCTTCTGTCTTACAGGCCTTTTGAACGAATAACATTTCTCTGCACCCATGCTTACTTTTCTGAGATTTCACTCTATATATTATAAAATCCTGTCCATTCACATGAATGTATATTTTATGGGGACACATCTCAGAATCACTGATCTTGTAATAGTGCATATAGTTCATTACATAGAAGGACAAAAGTTCTTGCATCTTATATGCAAGTACAGTATGAATGCAAAAAAAAAAAGATCTGTTGGGATTTTAGAGATGAATTGCCTACAGGCTTCTTCATTTTTTAAAAACATAACAATTCTTTTTGAATATGCTAATGCTAACTACCTTTTTTAAAAAAGGAGATGAGTTGGTAGCATTCACTTAAATACATCTTTTCCTCGGGAGAGCCATTGTGTTTAAAGAACTAAAAAGTATCTGCTTTGTTATGCATACCACAATTGTAAAAGAATAAAGTGTAAGTAAACCATAACACGCAAAAGGCACAAATACTGTATCCAGAATTCTCTAAACCACAGAATCCTCCACTGGCCATCTCGTGGCTCTCAGTGGTAATTTGAGCTGTTTTTGAGGAATGGCTGCCCTTCCCTGAGGATAGAATGGAAGAAGTCTTCCCTTCAGGTGCTTTTTCAAATGTTCCAGATGCTCTTCTTAATGGCCACTAACCCAGGCCCAAGCCTTCTTCAGATTCCTCCTGACACAAGGTTTACCAGTTGTATTTACTTGCTCTAGAAAAATCAATTCCAGGGAGATAGGTGTGTTTTGTTTTGTTTTAATAAGGTTTATTGAGATAGAATTTACAGATAGTAAAATCGTTCCTTTTAGGTTTGCAGCTCCATGAATTCTGACAAATACAGTCATGTAACTACCACCATGATTTCCATCCCCTCAAAAAGTTTTAGGTGTTTTTTAATTGTTTGACAATGCTAATATAGGATTAGAGTAAGATGTTTTGTTTTCCTGTCCCCATCCTCCCCTTTTTAAAAAATTAGTTTCCATATATTATTAAGACTGCACTTGTTTTTTCCCCTAATGTCCTTCTTCTGTGCCAGGATCCCAGCCAGGATACCATGTTACATTGTGTAATCCTTTTTAGAAATCATTTTCATGAGGAAGATGATTAACACATAGTTTGATTACTTGGTTGGTAATATCCAGGAGGTACCAGGAAAATGCACCACGAGATACTTGAAAGAAAAGCATAAACTACCTCAATCATGTGGTGCATTATTAATATACAAAAGCCCCGGGCGCCTGGGTGGCTCAGATGGTTAAGCGTCTGCCTTTGGCTCAGGTCATGATCCCAGGGTCCTGGGATCGAGTCCCACATCGGGCTCCCGGCTCAGCAGGGAGCCTGCTTCTCCCTCTGACCCTCTCCCCTCTCATGCTGTTTCTCTCTCGCTCGCTCTCTAAAAAATAAATAAAATCTTTAAAAAAAAAAAAAATATATATATATATACAAAAGCCCCTTTGAGCCAACATAGGTGAACAAGTTGTAAGAAACCAGATTAACTATTTCCTGCTAGTCAGACTTGTTTGAAATAACCCAGTGTTGTTTAGTGAGGGCCATGAGGTGGAAGATTTGGAAGGTATGTAGTTAATGACCTAGATTATGGTCGTGGGAAAATAAACCCAGAGATCCAGAAGGAATCCTGGAGTTTTTCAATGCGAGTGAAGACAGAACAAAACATACATTTTATAAAAGGTAAATTCAAGATCCTTGAATTGCTTTGTAAAATGATTTATCATATCTTACCAGTATTTTTATTATATTTTAATTTCCGTGGAATGTATATAGCTTTTAAAGAAAAATTTAAACGCAATGGATGCTGAAGACAGAATGGAGAAAATTGAAACAACTATGAAATAAAAAAAAAATCTCCCCAAATCCTGCTGCTCACACATGACCACTATTAAAATTGTGGGGTTATCCTTCCGAGATTTTTTTTTCTGAGTGCATGTGTGTGCATATGTGTATATACATACCACAAAACTCACAGTTTATATCACCTGTCTTATGAGCTGATTTTTTTCCCTTAAAGAGATTGTTTTAGGATGCCTGGGTCTCTCAGTCAGTTAAGCATCTGCCTTCGGCTCAGGTCATGATCCCAGGGTCCTGGGATCGAGTCCCACATCGGGCTCCATACTCAGTGGAGAGCCTGCTTCTCCCTCTGCCTGCCGCTCCCCCTGCTTGTGAACACTCGCTCGCTCTCTCTCTCTCTCTCTGACAAAAAAAAAAAAAAAAAAATAGATTCTTTTAAATACCCAGCTTTACAATAGTATAATTTCCAGAAAATTTGAAAAATACTTCTAACCTACAAGAAGGTGTGTGGGCGTTATCTATGAAGTTGTGTGGAAGCATTTAAAACCACGTGCTGAAAGCCCCTGAGCTAATGTACAGCCTTCCCTTACGTGGGCGTGGCCGTGGCTGGCTCCCTGGTTTGCAGTGTGAGGGCCCGGCCCCTGACACGGTGATGTCACCTTGGATGGTCTCACTTTTTAGATGTTGTTTTCTCTACTTGTATTCAGATCTCTCTTGAAATGTTCCCTTTAAAAATACTAATGTTAACTCAGAAAGATTCCAATTACCATCTCCCCACAGACTTAAATGTTAAACCTCAAGTTCTAAACTTTATCCCTTATGTATGTGAGCAGGCTTGCCAGATGGCAGGCCAATTAATATATTTTTGCAAGGTGTAGAAATGTTTTTTCTCCATAGGGGAACAATGAATCCATCTGCTCCACATCTTCCTTTCCCCTCTGTCCTTTGGGGAAAATCATCATTTAATTTTCAGAAGTAATTGTGCAACTCTCTAAGTGATACTTTCTGCATTTTAACGGAGGTAGTTTTAATAATTGAAACTTTTTCTTACTATAAGGATTTAAAGAACCCTATGTCATGGATTAAAGTATGTGGACATCTAAGTTGCATCCACGTTATTATTTTCTTTTTGATTGTTGGACATACAGAATTGTGTTTGAAAAATTCATTCAGCGAAGGCTTAACTTGGAAAAGACTTTCAGAAACATGTAATAAAACCCCTTTACTATAAGATGAGGAAACTATTATTTAGGTGTCAGACTTTCAAGCTGGTCAGCAACTTGGAACCTGAATGGTCTCGAATCCTGGTCTTCAGGTTCCAAATGAGGACAACTGTGGTGACAATAGAATCTTGGATTTCTCAGGAGGAATAAAAAGAGCAAGAACCTTGAATAAGATTCACATAGAAGCAACCACACCCTCATTTTCATCGCCTCCTCTCCCCTGAGTTCCAGGCACTGAACTGGACACATCACCCTTAGAGTTTCTTTACATACTCAAGTGGCTTTTCAGATTAGCAGGTGATGATGATTAACTGTTCAGTGTATTGTGTTGCCTCCAACTCTGTAGACGTTCCGAAAGGACAAACGCCACATCCTTTTTTTAAGCACTTTTGTAGTGTGCTGTCTGGACCTGAAATGGATGAATTAGGGAATATATGAATATCAATGGGATTGTTTTAGAGAGTCCTCTCTGGAAGTGTTACAGTTCTAGGAGAGTGACCTCATTGTAGCTTTGCAGTAATCTGACACATTATAATACAGAATTTGTTTCCTTTTTCCTTCTCGTATGAAGGATTTCAGTACTGAATATTCCAGAAGCTTCTTTTGGGAGGAGTGTTTCAATTATATCCCTATTTACCAGCATTTTTGCTGTCCTCCGTATTTTGTCATAGGTGGGCATAGATTGGTTAATGTTAAGTGAGAGGAAGGATTTTGACTTGTCATTTTTTTTCTTTCATTCAACATGAACTTCTTTATCT